CATTCTTTCTTCTTCCTTCCCCTTTCATTCTTTTTCCTTCCTTTCTCTCTTCACATATTCCCTTATTTTTCTTTCCCCCTTCTCTTTCTCTTTTCTTGTCCCTTCTTGCATGCTCAAATGCAAAAGGGAAACATTTCTCCTTTTGTTTTGTTTTTAGTTTGTTTTGCTAGCCCTCTGCCAGCTAAAATGGGGCTCACCCACCCCAACCGAGCTGCATTTTTACCCTGCCCAAGCTCTGTTTTCACTGGCAGAGGCACCATGGGCCAGTCTTTTGCTGTTCCCAGGCCGGCCCTGTGGCCCAGATCTAATCACCCTGCAGGCCGAATCCGGCCCACGGGCCTTGAGTTTGACAGCCTTGATTTATCTGCATCAGACAGACCATGATTGAAAACAATAATTAAGGGACTACAGATGCAGGTAGAAAATTGTGCCTTGTGAATACTTGCATGCCATGTAAAGGCAGCCATAGTATTAGTTCAGTTCTAAACATCTACAAATATTTATGAACCTTTTTGAGCCATTTCATCTAAAAACCCCAGAACAACCAGAAAGAACAGCCAATGTGGATGACGAACACTTTATGGCTTTTGAAGGTTTTGAAAGTATTATGCGCTTAGTTTTGTGACCATTATTAAGCTGCCGAGTCTTCTTTTGAGGAGGAGCAAATTAAATTTTATTTTTTTTTAAAAAAAAATTAGACAGTAAAACTGGAATAAACAAACAAAATCTTAAGAAACGGAGTGGAAAAAGACAGCATAGCATTAAATAAACAAATACAATTATATACAGAAAGTTAACTACACATCAGCAGCAAATTCTGCTCATTTTTACTGCAAAGAACAATTTTCTCATCAAAGAGATGTGCCAGGCAATACTCAGCTTGATGCACACACATTGCATTTCTGATAATCTAAGACACCACTGCCTTCCATGAGCCTTATTCATTCTGTGCCCATTTATCGCAATTATCCTAACCATGGAGCACTACTGCCGTGTATACATTGTGCTAAGCCAAAACCAAGATATCCCCATGATGGATTATCGTGCTATGTGAATCAATAAATTATTCTGCATTGGGGGACTAACCATGGTTACTAAAATCCAGATTTTTCCAAGTTTGTAACTAGTCCGAAATGACAAGTTAACAAACTTTCTTTTTCAATCAGGTATACATCTCCTGCCATGGTTAAAGCCAAGTGCGGGTGAGAGGGTAGATCATGAGATTAGAAGCATTACTTTTGTTACTGACTAAACTTACATGTTTCACTTTTGTGGGATTCATACCTTGTAAACTGACATTGTTTTTTTCTTCCTCTTAAAAATGTAATTTATAACTAAAAGTCCAGTTGTTGTTAAGGGTCTATTAATATACGCAATGCTATATTTCATTTGAAGAAATACATTTTGTCCGTGGTTACATAATAAAGTTATACATCTTGTTTTACATCCACGCACAAATGGAACTCTTTAACAAGGTTAAAGGATTATTGCGCATATAAACTTAAAAAAGCTGCCGTTTTGTTATTCTCATAAATACAATATGATAACTTTAAAGGAGAGCATCTGGTTTATCCTGATTCAAGGCAGTAACACATGAAGCCCGTAATCTAGATTAAAGAGTCATATATGGCAGGGATTAAAATGGGACAGTACACATGCTTGGTACCTATTGGTAACCATGCATGTTGCACTATACAGTGGAAACCTGAAAACATGTTTATTTCTCAAAACATATACCCAGAACCGCAACTGAAGGAGAATTGAACATAGATTGATTAAAATCCCTCCATTAAAAAATAAATTTAAGACACATCTGAGCCTCTTGTCTAAAAGTAAAAAAAAAAGGAGAAGTCCCTGAGCTCCAAGTTAAGGTCAGCTGTACATGTTTGAACTGTCTCTTTTTGTTTAGTATCATATCAAAAAAGTTTGAATTTTGGCCTGAATACCCTTCAAAAACTTGGAAGATTGTTATTGCTATCTAAAGAAAATGTTTGAGATCAAAGTCTAGATCAGTGTTTCTCAACCTTAGCAACTTTAAAATGTGTGGACTTCCAACGCTGCTGGATGAGGAATGCTGGGAGTTGAACTCCCCACAACTTAAAGGGTTGAAAAACACTGGTCTAAGATTGATCTTTGCTGATTAAGGAAGCATATTTTGCTTGACTAAATAATCAGGGTTTGGAATCAGTCCACCATCAAGATCCATGGACTTTTTTGGGCACGGAAAGCACTAAAAATATTTGATGTTTGAAGGATACATCTGCAATAGATTTCTGATCCATGCTTTTATTTATATATAAATAAAGAAATTGAATTACAGTTTTCTGATGGAGGCAAGGATAGCATTTTCAAGTAACAAAGTCAAATTGTCAGGCCTTTCCCACCTCCCTGTTGTGTGAGTAGGAGGGTAAATTGCAATATTATACCATTATATTAACTGTTTCAGCCTATAGTTTTTCTTCTTTTAGTACTTAATTTGATGTAATAAAATACTGCAATAAAAATAATACGTTAGCTATTTTTCTATGAGTGCATTTAATTGATACTAAAGAAACATAACTTTTAATGCCTACTGTAAGAATGGAATAATGGTCATAAAAGAACTGCAGGGGAAAAAAAGATAAACAGCACATTTCTAGTATGGATCTTAACAAGCACATTTTTTCAGTATATAATCTTGGGGATTATTTTAGCATGCTATCAATACAGCTAACATTTAAATCTCCATGCAGAGTGAAAACAAGGGGATATGTGCTTTTTGACTTAACATTGTTCTGCTATGATTTTGCGTTGAACGCCCTGATTGATCTTTAAAAATCCCTGCATAGATACTAGATTTTGATTTCCACAATAGCTTCAAAAGATCTCTCTCTATATTTAGCTTATTCTGGTTTCAATGAGGTTGCTTTCTCTCCAATGTTGCATGCTTTTGGAATAAAATGGCATCCTTGAAATGACAAACGGCTATCACTTGATTTTTTGTTAGCACAGTCTTAAAACTGAAAACGCACACATACACACACACACACAAATAAGCATGTGATATGTTGCTTTAAAATCTGTACCACAAATTAATGTTAATTTTTTTTAAAGTACTACAATTTTGTGGCAAAAGCATTTGCATTAATAATAAAATACTGCATTGTGGTGCCCCTTCCCACTTCCAAATGCCCCTACTAATTCTGGATGTGCAGTCATTATATGCAGAATATGCATTCTATCACAATATTCTGGTTCAAATGAGTGTTCACTCCAAGAATCTAGCGTGTTTGAGACTATATAAATCTGCCTCCGATTGGTCCACTGTTTATTAAATGATGGACATCCGTAAGATACTTGTTCAAGAATCATCTTTAATGTGAAACTGTTAGCATGCTAAGTATTTCTGCACTGCACTGAAGGAAACATGTATCCAATAGTATATAACCTAAAAAATGGGGCGAAGCAACAAGCAAATACAATTGTATAATTCTTATATGCAAGTATAGGATTATACCAGAAGCTTCAAGGAAGGATATCAATATCCAAAATCAGGATGGCGCTCCTTCTTCTCATACAAGGAAGCCGGACTTTGACTCGAATACACTACTGGTTCTGTGCTGGGACCCCAACCCTTTCCTTTGCACTGGTGCCTGAAAAACCAATCCTTCAAACTTCAGGAATTCTCCACGACTGTACTCCACAGAGAAGTAATGAGAGGCAACCCCCCACCCCCTTACTGTACGTCTCTGAACTCCTTTCTCTTTGTGCAAGGCAATTCTGGGTGACTACTTACAAAAGGCAAAATGAAGCTGCATCATTTGTGCTGAACTTATCGGAATTCTGCAGTAGCCATTCATATATAGCTCACATCTGCACAAGAAATATTCCAGATGGGGAGCAATGATTGTAAAGAGTGAAGAGAAATGAATGCATAAGTACATGCAACAAAGTAAGGATGTCGTTTACAGAATTGCAGGTATTTTTAAATGCTGTAATCTGTTAATGAAGATACAGCAATTTCCAGCAGTGGATGTCAAATTATAGAATTTTTGACCCCCAAAGAGGTTTCTCGACACCTGCCCATCTTTTCGATGCTAATTAAACCTGTTTTTATTTCTTCCAATTAAAATTATTATGCTATATTGCTGTTAAGTTTTATCTGGCTGCTGTACGCTATTTATTTTTTGTTGCATTTGTTTGATTTATTTTTGGATATGCCTTCCCTGTGAATATAGTGAAGAAAAGCATAAAGAATATTAACAACATAAGATAGATGTACATTTTGAATTTTAGTAAAAATTCAAACAAAACTTTGCAGTATGCATCCTATCCAAGGGCGAAATCCAAATGGATACATTTTCCCCCTCTTGTGCTCTTGTCTAAAATACACTGTATTTGTAAGTTCAAATTCAGAGAGTCACAAGGAAAGATACTAAGATTTTCTTTTTTTAATAAGAGCAACCCAGAAAAGTAATTTTCACCAGCATTGATTCACATTACAGTACATCAATATTAACAGCATTCTCTTTTTTTTTCTATTTTTGGTACATAAGATGGAACCTTTCTAGATAACCTCATAAGGCATCAGTAACTAAGAGTAAAAAACCTATTAGTTTACAATTTATTTAAAAAATTCAGAAATACACAGCAAGTCCTAAACTTTAGTAGTGCTATCCATACACAACTACCTGATTTCAGAACCCAGTTAAAAGCCCCAAATCTTTCAAAGAAGCTCTGCAACAGTGATGTTGTGCAATTATGGATGTTGCTTACTATGACGCCCCACCCCTCCCACCCCCGAATATTACACATGGCACATTCTCATTCAAATTTTGCAATGTAAAAAGTTACAAACATATCTAACCAAATAAATAATAATTAAAAATGAATGTGTTTTGTTAAAGTATCCTAAAACCACTATGCAGAATAATGGCCGTTTTCTCTCACAGATTATATACATGGTAATACCCAGCAAAGGGTACACTGCTACAAAACATGTTAAACAAAGAGTAAACTTGAAATGTTTTTTTTTTCCATAATAAAAATCTAGCAGCTTGACTAGCTAATGCTGTTGTGTTTCCTTGAATTTGGGAAGTGTTTAATCTATATCTTCATCCAGTTCGTAATTGTCTTTATCATAAATATCTTTTACTAAAAGAACCCGTACAAGCATATTTTCCAAAGTATTGCGGTCCACTGAAGTGGAAGTGTACCAAATGGGACTCTCCGAAGTTACTGGGCAAGCTGGCTGCAAATAGAACACGTCCATTCTCTGAGTGAGATTTGACGGGCTGAAAGGAACAAAACAAGAGCAAAATTAATAAAGGGCACATATTATTTTAAATTATGGTCACTGTAATAACCTCACTTCAAAGCAGGGGTGTCAAACTCAAGGCCCACCGGGCCAGATCTGGCCTGCAAGGTCTGGCCTGGAACTAGCAAAGGACTGGCCCGTGGTGCCTCTGGCAGCCGAAATGTCCCGTCCCCCCCACCGTTTTCGCTGGCAAAGTGCTGCAGGAGGCCGTCTAGGCTGAAAATGGGGTATGGGGGAATCTCATTCGGCCCCCACTCTTCCTCCGTTTTGGCTGGCAGGGTGCTGCAGGAGGCATCTGTCCTGTCTCCCCACTCCCGCCACCATGCCCCAGCTGGCCCATGGAGGAGATCTGCAATGCTGATCCGGCCCTTGAAGAAATTCAGTTTGACACCCTTGGTTTAAAGCATAATATAAAGTAGGTTAGAGCAGAAGGAATATTTATTTATCAGACAACAACTATTGACTTTTTAATATCAATGAAATATTCACTTCATACAATCTGGATTTCCAAAATACTGCTATTATACAGGTAGCTCTTGCTTCTTCTTCTCAACTTCCTCTTTTACCGCTTTGGGTGTTGAGAGGGATACTAAGTTCTGTAAGTCCTTGCTTAATCACCCTAATTAGGACTGGAATTTGCATTGCTAAGTAATAATATCTTTAAATAATATCTAAGCTTTAAGTATAACATCACCCGGCTGCACTGTTTAGTAATGACAATTTTGGTAGTCCTGGTTGCAATTATTAGATCAGGATTGTGCCATTGTTAGGCTTGGATCTCATGCTATTTCTGCTCTGCCATCCTGTACTCTGCTGCCCTGCATCCCAACTGCCCTACACCCACTCCTAGTTGACCTTCTTCCTCCCAGTGCTGATAAGATGTACCTGGACCTGGAACTTCACAAGGCAGCTGCTGGGCCAAATGAAGTCTTGGGAAGACTATGCAAGGCCAGCAGTTTCATCGCAAAGGGCCAGGCCAGGAGCACCTTGTGAACAGAAGGAGGAAGCGGATTATTGGTCAATTGGGATGGAAGAAGATTGTGGGCGAGAGAGTTCAAGGGCACCCTGAAGTTGTAAATGTAGGCAAGCAACTTGATCACATGACTACGGGAGCACCACAATGGCTACAACTTCAAAGACCAGGCCTAAATGCCATTCGATTAGCATTGTTGTAACTTCAAACTCTTGCTGAAAGATGGGTATTAAGTAAATATCTGTATAGATTTTGTTTTCTTGCCATGAAATGGTATTAATTACTGACATAATAACCCTGTTTATAAAGTCAAGTAATTGTAATTTGGAAGTGTAATTTACATTTTGTTCAGTGGAACAATTTGCCTCCAGAAGTTGTGAATGCTCCAGTTTTTAAGAACTATTTTTAAGACCAAGGTCCCTTCCAGCTGTTATTTTACTTACAATGTTCTACTTATTAAAAACTTCCTAATGTGTCCGGTTCTCCCTATATTGGCTTTTTAGAATTAACCCAAAAGTTGCTGTTCCTATAATAGCTGGTTTCAGGTGATCTGTGCCTGAACTGAAATATACTTGTTGCAAGTATTTTGGACTGTGTTATGGGAACTGAAATGTGTAAAAAAACAAAAGAAGCATATTTGTTCTGGCAAAAGTGGTCCGGTTAAGAGCAAAGGAAAACCAAGGACATAATTGGCTGAGAAGATGAGGCTGGCCTGGAGGGATGCTGGGACCTCAGCAGTGGTGGCTGTTGAGATAGGCATACAAGTTGGATGTGTGGGGCATATCACCGATGGCAGGGGCTGAAAGGTGGGGAGGCAAGGTTGGCCAAGGGGATATGTTACTCTGGGATTCTGGAGGGAGAAGGTGCTAGGATAAGCAGGACAGAGAAACGGAAGATGCTGGGAGGATAGGGAGAACAGTGCTGAGAGCTGCTAGAAGGATGAGGGGGTAATGTACTACAGCCTTAGCCTTCTTACCTAGTCTGGATTTTGTTTGCTCCAAAACCAGGAGGAACACCAGAGTAGTATAGGTTTTGGGCTGTTAAGCCTGAAAGAGCTGCTAAGCATGAAACAGATTACTAGGTGTGTAAACATTTAGGACACTTTGCAAATAGGATTGTTTAGTACAATATATAAGGATGTTGGGGGATAAGATCGTTTAGCAGAATTATCACTGGATATGAGTGATGTTAAAATTAATATGTAGTTTTACGGCTTCTTTCCTTTGGGATGTTTTCAAGTGCCCATTGATAAAAATTGTAAAATCCAATGAAAAGTCCACATATAGACACAGATACAATTAAAATATTTTTTTAAAAAATACCTCCTAGATAAATAGCATTCAAACATTTTCACAGGACACCTAGAAGGATCTGCGATGTTTTCCATCTGTTCAAATACTGGCTCATCGTCTTCATGTTTCCTTTTTCCAGTAGTAATTTTATCTTCTTTTTTAAAAAAGGAAAATAATATAATATGATTTTTGTTATTGGTTTTATTTTAAAAATACACATATTATATCACAAAGGAACTGAATTAAATACAAGAACAACAGCTATAATGGTGTGATGTTGCAATCACTGTATTACTTGAAAGGAGATTCAGAAATATTTTTTCAGTAATGTATCTTTTTTTTCAGTTAAGTATATTTTTTCAGCAAATAATTTTAAAGTAATTTTAACTGTGGCTTTATCAAGGAAAAAATGAAAAACCTAAGTCCAAGTTCCAGTTATTTTCCTTTCCTGAATGAAGACTCTATCCACACAAGTATTTTATCTTACAGAATAAGCTGAGAATCTGATTTTCTACATTTCATTTAAATTTGCTATTTAAATCAAATATATTATTCTAATTCACCAGTCTCTGTCCCAAGTTGACACACAATTATGTTATCTTGGCCCTCAAAAGTTAGCAAATAGTTACTTAGCTTACCTGTTTTTAATTCCACTAATACTTAAGGATGGCTTGTTAAACTAATTAGTCTATAACACTGATCTACAACCCCCCAAAATGCATTAAATCAAAACCAAACAAATCACATATGAGAAAAGTATAATATGTGAACCCAGTTAATATGAAGACAAATAGAGGTAAGGTGAACGACATTTAAAGAATAAGCAATAAGAGAAAAATAAGGTTATCTAATTAAATCCAGTCGTTACTTTTAAAGCCCTACATGGTATTGGACCTGGTACTTGAGAGACCGCCTCCTGCCAATTACCTCCCTAAGACCTATTAGATCCCACAGACTAGGCTTCCTCTGAATTCCATCCGCCGGCCAGTGTCAACTGGCAACTCCCCGGGGGAGGGCCTTCTCTGTGGCTGCTCCGGCCCTCTGGAACGATCTCCCCGTTGAGAGGACCCTCACCACCCTTCCGGCTTTCCCGGACCCTCAACACCCTTCCGGCTTTCCGCAAGGCCAGTAAGACCTGGTTGTTCCGGCAGGCCTGGGGCTGGTGAATTTCCAGCCCCATCCGAGGTTTCAACTGTTGTTGTATTTTAAATTGTTTGTCTTTTATTTTCTTATTTGTATCCCCTTCCCCTTCTGGTTGTTAGCCGCCCTGAGTCTCTCGGGAATAGGGCGGCATACAAACTGAATAAACTACAACTACGAATAAACTAAATCAATAATCTTAAATTGCTATGGTCCAGCTACAAAAAAGAACTGATACTCCACATGTAATAGGTTCTGGATTTAATCTCTGGGTAAAGACTTCCAGTCTGAAAAATTGTAGAGACGTGTTGCCAGAAACACACTCACTGTCTCTCACTCTCTTCCTCTCCCTCTCTCCCTCCCTCTGTCTGTGTGTGTGTGTGTGAGAGAGAGAGAGAGAGAGAGAGAGAGACAGACAGACAGAGACCAATACAGAATCAATCTTGCATTATTTTACTTTCTTTCCAGAAGCTATGTAAAATAGAGCCCTCTACTTAAGGTAGAGACCAGTAGTCTCTTCTGGATCCTGTTGCCACCGGTGCAGTGCAACGGGGCCAGGCGCCCACCACATGAACCCACGCAGCGCACGCATGCGTACTTACCACCTGCGACGCCTCTACAATGCTCCAGCTGCTCAGAGCGTCACGCAGGTGCCATGCGCTCTGTGCAGCTGTGCGGAAATCCCGAAAATTTCAAATACTGGTAAGGAGCATGGGCGGGGGATGGGCCCTCCGGAGCACCGTACCAGAACGGTACCTGGTGCTCCCGGCAGGCACTGGTACACCCGTACCGGGGCGTACCAGTCGTAACCCACCACTGCTTTACAAGTAGGGTAACTTTGCCACTGGAACAAAAAGTTGCAATACCTTCATTATCTGTTCCGCACAGCGAGGAAACCTGATATCGAAGACAAGCTTTGCTTTCCATCGTTAGAGGATTCTTCTTCCAATGCCTATAAACAGTGCCAAAGGAAAGTCTTAAGTGCTGCTCCACTGTTTTCAGACCAAAATACTTCGTGTTGAAGTAGAATAGTGTATTTAGAAGAGCAGCTGGAGAATGGGATCCCAGCTGTTTAATATTCCAGAGATAGTCCTCCTCAACTCGAGAAAATATCGAACCTGACAGGCGAAAAAGAAAAGACTTATAAACAAACAGACCTAAACAAATCCAACATAAAAAACCTAAGAAGATAAAAAAAGAAGCTATATTAATCTGAAAAACATGTGAAATATTTAAGACCAAGTACCTTAGCCCAACAAATTAACTAAAGATTAAACTGTGTTTATAAACCAACATTCTTTACATAGCTTATAACAACTAGTCATGAATTATTCTGGTGTGAATTGCTTAAGGAACATAAAGCCAAAGACAAAAAATATCAAAACAAGAAAAATTACCATCTGGAAGTATGCTGGGCTGCCAGCTTCTGAGTATTTTATTTATTTCCTGCATAAATGTATGATAATTAGTATCCAAAAAGATATTATCTTCTCGATTGCTTCCATTCAGGTACTATAGAAAAGGAGGAACATAAAAATTAGTATATTCAAACTAAAGAAGATTGCCAAACTGTTTTTGATCATTTGCATGCATATAAAAAATAATTGCATAAGAAAGCAACCTTAATTTAACTACTAATTGGCTTGATCTTTGTGAAGGATTTGGGATTCATTCAAGGAAGTAGGGAGTGATTTTTACACAACCTCTCATTCTATTCCAAGGATCAATCTCAAGTCAATCAAATCAATCTCAAAACACATGACTTAGAGGAGCCTTTCTTAAAAACTGGCCAGGGTTTGTTATAAACCATGATCCTTAGATAGTGTGCAACAAAAAGCTGAAATCTGGAGAGTGTAAATGAGAGTTTTCCAGCCCATAAAACAGGGGTGTCAAAGTCGCATCATCACAGCCTCTTCACATGATGCATCATGAGTTTTTTCTCCTTTGATAAACCGGGTGTGGGCGTGGCCAGCATGTGATGCATCTGGCCCACGACCCTGAGTTTGACAGCCCTGCCATAGAAGAACAGGAGTAGAAAAAGTACATAAGCCTGGGACCTGCTTCTGTTCATTCCAACCGATCTACATAACATTAAAACATGGCTTGTAGAAAGTGTAAATGCAGCTAATATTTCAACTAATGATTCTAAGTTCTGTCAATCACATTTATTTGGAAAAAAAAATAGCAACCACATGCAGATTATCTAATATTTAAATTACTCACTTCCTGAATCCCAAGACACAAATAATAGATACTGTCAGGTGCATAGTTTTCTCCGTTTGGTCTTCGGACTTCATTTACAAAGTGTGCCAGCCCAAAATTTAGCTCAGTAGAAGTATGTGATATAATATCTTCTTTCAATTTTACTGACTTTGCTGTAGTGGGAAATGTAGGGTATCATGTAATGCTGTCTCTTATTGATAAAATAAAGCACCCAGCAGATGAGTACAAAATAAAGGAAACATATTCAAAAATTGCAAACATCACCATAAAAACCTCTTTCAAACATAAGACATACAGTAAGGGCTTTTCACTTAAAGTATTGATTTCTACGCTATGCTTAATGCTTCGTGACTTTGCAGTAATTGTTCCCATACAATGACCTCATTTGACTGATCAGATTCTGAAGACGAACACATAATGTGTCCTTCACAACCCCATTACAAAAACAAAATTTTAATTCATATCCAAGGTCTACAGTCTTATCTGCAGGACATACTGTCTGTATGTTTTAAACTAAAGATTTAAAGGTGCACGAGATACTTACTTGATTTTAGCTCATCTAGTACCAACAGATCTTCCTCTAGGTTCCTAGTTTTTACCCAGTGTTTCCATGCATTTACACCATACGCATACTTGAAAGGAAAACTGCACTCTGAGTTCTCAGAGCCATCATCTTGAGAATGGTATTCTGACACTGCTTTTCTCTTTAGTCCCTGCCATCGAAATGGACTTTGTTAATTAATAGTGCTTATTAATATTGAACAGTCAATGATGCTTTTTCTGTTAAAGAGAAGTGAGATCCAAGTAAGCCATAGGTACCAACTATGAACCGGGCATTGGGAGTGAAGCTTGAGATTCTTAAATTAGTTGTGTTCATGAATGTATGTAAAAAGCCAATGTCTATTTCACCCTGTAAATTATGACATTTGGAAAGGCACACGGTGTAAAAAACAATATCAAGAAGCACAAGTCACTTTCTCATTGCCCCTCAAGGTACAGTTATCAGACTCTCATTACAAGAAGATACAACCAAAGAAGGCACTATTTATGTTTACCACTCTAATAAAAATATAGATTATACCTTCTTTTTACTTCGAGGTCTTGGCTGTTCCTCGTATTCTTCTCCAAATACAGGTGGTAGCAAAAATTCATTCTCTGTGTCAAGTTCTTCTGTTGCTGTATATTATATAAAAGGGTAACCACTAATGATATAGTAAACATGCAGTCCAACATTTTGTACATATATTTATAAATGATGAAGGAATTATTTGTTTTACAATATGTTTTATTCAGGATTCAAAGATACTTTTAACAATTGTAGAAAACAAATAATGAAAGGAAATATTCTAGTTATTTTCATTATCAGATCAATTATATCTGGCATACACTCCCTTTTTACTTTCTTTGTAAAACACACAGACACACACACAAAAACAAACAAACACAAATTACTTAAATTATCAGGTCTTTCTATATATAAAATACTTTAATAACTGAATCCTCATCAACTTTAATTCTAGTCTGTAGCCTACATAATACAATTAAATACATTTATGTGCGTGCATGCGTGCACACACAAACACAATTTTCTGGAATTTGCCTATTTCAGTGTTGGGATCCTGCCGGTTTAGCAACCAGTTTGGTGATCCACATGGACCTGACGTGCGCATGCACAGTTTGACTAAAACTTACCTTCAACACTACTGCTTGGAGAGTAATACAGCTGAGGTGCGGCAATCTGCTGTGCCGCACTAATCAGCTGAGAAGATATAGGTAAGTAAAGCGTAAGGGCGGGCGGGCGATCATCAGAGCGAACCGGTTCGCTCTCAGCTAATCATTGGAGCTACTCGTTCGCCGAAACCAGTCTGAACCGGCTGAATCTCACGCCTGTCCTATTCCTATATGATTTTTGCATCTTTTCATGCATAGAGCTTCTTTCCAAAAATGTTCCAAGTCAGTTTCCCTAAACTGGTTCCTTCCGAAAAGTGGTGCAATTCTCATTTCCCCCATGGACTTCATTTCGCCAAGACTGTCTGATAGTAACTGTCTGAATTTTTGTAAACTCAAGTTTGTCTTAATAACAGTACCTAGCCACTTTGTATTCTGTAGGGATCTTTTATAATTGCCTTCAGGTTTTCCAAGCATTTCAATTGGTTTGTCTTTTGTGCTCAAATACTGAAATTTTAGCTTCATTGCTACTTCTTTCACAGGCAGTCTGTTTTTAACTTCATGGAAGTATTGGTTTGCTTTTCTTGTGACTTAAAGCGTTTTCCTGGCAGGGTTGGGGTGCTCCGAATGTCATCTCTCATGGTCTTGCTTTCTCTGTAGGAACACCTGCCCTTTGGAATAAGATTCCCCCAGAGATTAAGATGGTCCCCACCCTACGGTGTTTTGAAGGCTTGGAAGACCTGGCTCTTCGCCAGGTCTAGTGAATGAAGGTCCCTTAAGATGATGTGGTTTCAACTTTCTTTGTTCCCATATTTGCGCCTTGTGCAGAATCACTAGGAGTTGGGCCGCATATACAATGAATAAATAAAACCAATTTCCTGCAGCATTGCAATTGAAAAGCATCCATTTTCCTTCATTTAGTCTTTTGACAATTTAGCTTTCAGAGTTTTATGTAACAGCTAGCAGTTAAATGTACTCTTGTCCCATATTCCTGTGATGACTCAGTACCAAGATATTTTGTCTATATTTATCTCTGACTTTCTTATTGACTTTGGATTTCTCTTGGACATCTTTGCACGAAAGATTCCTTAATTTCAACCTTTTGCTTAAATATATCTGTGGTCCCTGTTTTATTATTATCCTTTATTTCTTTAAAGAGGCAATAGTGCCTTTTCAAACATTATTGATCAAATGTAATTCAATCTTCTCTTTAGCCTAACTGCCTAAACATAAAGAGTACCATTGACATATATTGTTGGTCTGATGGTTTTATTTGCTTTCTCAAGTTTACATTTTAATTTTGTAAAAAGAAATTTGTGATCTGAGTCGCAGTCAGCACTAGGTCTTATTTTTATTTCTTGATTGAATAGAGCATCTATGATCATCTATTTTTCCTTCGAAAAGTTATTAGTTTATTTGTTGTGGCCCAGCAGGAGCCGCTGGAGCTGCAAACAGACTCTGACAGCGAGGGCCCTTATGAGTCGGCTCTGGAAGATATGGAGGACCCTGGACAGGGTTCTGACTCCGAGCAGGGATCAGAGAGGCTGGTTGGCCACCAGGAGGCGCCTGAGGCATGGAGTAGCGGTGAAAGCCAAAGGGAGTGTGCTTCTGACGTCAGGCCTTGGGGCAGTGGCGATGAGACATGCCTGGCAACGATGGGCAGATCGACGTAGAGAACAGCTACGCAGTTACAAAAGATAATTGGATCCAGGTGGTTGTAATTAGGCTCCTCTCAAGATAATATTTAAGGAGAGACTCTGGGAGGAGTCTGGTTGCAGAATTCAACTTAATTCTCAACGCTGGAGAAGTTATCTGTATCTGTCGGAGTCTGGGTTGCTGCCAAGGTTCTTATCTGTTCGTCATGCTTGGGCTTTCAGCCACCAAGATTTATTTTTCCTGCTAATAAAGTGCTGTGGCATTCCAGCTAAGCTTGTCTCGGCATTTGTTACTGGACGGAGGAGGCGGTCAGAACATTTATCTATTTTGTTTGGTTGTGGACACTGGAATATTGCAGATTCATAAAAGTTTGAGTTAAAAATCTAATACAGGTAGTCAACCATTACAACCATTCACTTAGTGATCATTCACAGTGGTAACGGTATTGAAAAAAGTGACTTATGACCATTTTTCACTCTTAGCACCACTGCAGCATTCCCAAGGACATATGATCAAAATTTGGGTGCTTGGCAATTGGCAAATAATTTATGAGAGTTGCAGTGTCCTGAAGTCATGTGATCATCATTTGTGACCTTCACAGTTGCCTTCTGACAAGGAAAGTCAATGGCAGAAGCCAGATTCACTTACAACCATGCGATTCACTTAACAATTGTAGCAAAACTGTCGTAAAACGGGACACAACTTGCTTAACAGCTGTCTCTTTAGCAACAGAAACTTGAAGCTCAACTGTAATCGTAAGTCAAGGACTACCTGTAATCATAAAACACCTCAATTTTTTCATGGGGATACAGAAGCAACCATTTAAAACAGAAAGCAAGTAATCATGCTATAAATCAATGTACAAACCTCTAGGAAAATCAACCTCGATATCAAGGTCTGGCTCATATGGGACATCAGGCAAACTTGTCTGTGTTTCTGTCACAGAATTAAGCAATTCTGTCTCAATTATTACATCTATAATTGAATAAAGACAAATATGTTACCATTCTCTTTTTTATAATCTATACACTATTCAATAAAAGGTGATTTAGAGCCATAAGGCAGCAAAATCAGGCAAGCATATAAAAATATCTGATATAAATGAGCCTTTATGTGTTGTAAAGTAATATGTAATATTTAAGGAAAGAAAAACGTTTCTTAATCCAAGCATCACTGCCTTTAAAAAAAATTAAAAAATGCAACAAGACTGTTGAAAATTTGATGAAGTGATATATTTGGACCATTACATAATTCAAAGCTTAAAAACCAGAAATTAACAACACAATATTCACAGGCACCTTGATATACATTATCCTCTTCCCAAATAGCGTCGATGAGATACCAAAACCAAATAAAACTGAGTTTTAGAACTTGAAGATTTTCTTCATTAGACTGACTACCTATACCCATTTCTCTCTCTCCTTCTCGGTGTATGTGTGGGCATTTTGGTAATTGAATTACACAGCTCCTATAATGCCCTGATGAAATACCAAAGTTTTACCGACCAAAGATACTCCCATACAGAAATTCAGGTTTGTAGTAGGTGTACTTCATATCCAGAAGTATATCCCAAATACAAGAAATACAATTTCAGGGAGGAAAACATTCTAATATCTGAATTTATCTTTGCTAAGAGTGGGAATGCATCTAGCTGCCTACTTCTACAAGGACAGATCCTTACTGACTGCATCCCTTAGGATGGAGGGGGTTGCTATTAGTAATGTTGAGTCACTTCTTCCAGAAAAAAAGCCGAAAGGAACAAAATTATCAATGCTGTCCTAACTGAGTTTGTTCGGGTTCCAATGGTTCCAACTTGGTTCACAGGATTTATTTTCTGCTAGATTTAAGTATGTTGTGCCATGTGTTTATGAAGTACAGATCTGCACATGTCTTGTTGCATGTGCACTGCATATATAACATTGCTCTGTTTGTGCCATGACAGACAGAGAAATGAAGAACAAAAGAGAGTGACCTTGTTGTTCTATACCTGGCAGGAATATCAGAAAATCTCAGAAGGGTTTTCAACAAACACCACATATGTGCACACTTTAAACCCAGGAATACATTAAGACAGAAGCTTCTGCAACCCCAGGACAAAACATCCAGACACAAATCAATGACACCAAGCTGGCAGGAATAGCCAACACTTCAGAAGATAGGCTTAAGATACAGAAAGATCTTGATAAACTTGAACATATCTAACAAAATGAAATTCAATGATGGAAAGAGTAAGGTTCTACATTTAGGCAAGAAAAACGAAATGCACAGGTACAGTATAGGTGGTACCTTCCTCAATACTAGGAACTGTGTGAGGGACCTTGGAGTCCTAGTGGACAACCATTTAAATATGAGCCAGCATTGTGCAGCAGCTGCCACAAAAGCCAACACAGTTCTAGGCTGCATAAACAGAGGGATAGAATCAAGATCACGTGAAGTGTT